ATATATATATATATATATATATATATATATATATAATGTATGTATGCGTGTGTGTGTGTCTCGTCTTCCTTGTTTTTTGTCCTTGGCTGATCACATGCCTGAGTAATGGATCGTAAACAATTAGGGGCTCACGTTTTCAAAATAAAAGTCCCACATAAGTTGAATGTAAGGTTAAAAATTACTAAGGGAGGAAAATTACCACTGTTGTCTGAACAGAAAATGTTGGCTTGTTAAACGCAGCCTGAGTTGGGAATATTAATGATCTCAGAGCCTTTTTTATGATCTCAGCTGCATATGACTCGTGCTCTCTTGATGACGTCAGGTACTCGTCAGCTCTGGATGAACAACCTAAAGTAGGCATACATGCAAATGTGGATGGCTTGGCCTGTGAGTCTCATCACAGTTTGCTTTGGCTTCTAATTGGCTTCTAATTTACATGATAATGAGGAAACAGCAGTGTTTACGGCTCACAATATGGTCTTTTCCATACACTGAGCTTTTATTATTTTACTATGCCTTGGTATACCCAGATTTTCATTATAGGAGAACTTTAATATAATTCTTTTAAAATGCAGTATTTTTATTTTATTTCAGGCCTGATGGAGGAGACACACAGTCCTGTCAAAGAGGAAGAAGAAACTGACTCACTGAAGAGAAAAGACAAAAACTGTTTCACCTGCACTCAGTGTGGAAAGAGTCTATTATACAAAAAGAGTCTCCGGCATCACATGATGATCCACACTGGAGAGAAACCATGCACATGCTCTCAGTGTGGGACCAGTTTCAGACACCCCTCATCCCTAATTAATCACATGCTGATCCACACTGGAGAGAAAACACACAAATGTGATCAGTGCGGCAAAACATTTTTGAGGGCTTCAGAGCTGAAGAGCCACCTTCATAATCATACAAAGGAGAAGCCTTATCCATGCACTGTGTGTGGAAAGAGTTTCAAAGATCAAGCTCGTTTAAATAGACATCAGAAGATCCACACCGGTGTGAGAGAGTACATGTGCTTCAAGTGTGAGAAGACCTTTTATAGGGTTGAACATTTGAAAGTACATGAGAGGATTCACACTGCAGAGAAACCTTACATTTGTTCAATGTGCAGTAAGGGATTCAGTCAGCTAGAACAGATGAAAATGCATGAGAGGATTCACACCGGAGAGAAACCCTACAAGTGTTCACACTGCAACAAGAGATTCAGTAATTCAAGAAATCTGAAAACACATGAGAGGACTCACACTGGAGAGAAACCTTACAAGTGTTCACACTGTGACAAGAGATTCAGTTATCCAGTAATCTTGAAAAAACACGAGAGGATTCACACCAGAGAGAAACCTTAAAAGCAGGGTGTAATTCTTGCCAGGCAAAGCTCAATCCAGTACTTCTGAAATTTGGTCCTACGCCTCATTATGGTGGATGAATATCTAAATACAGTATGTTGCGTGCTTTCTTTGTAAGAAGACTTTTGTAAGAAGGCGCGCCATTTCACAGAAAGACTTGATTCAAACACTCGACTGAAGCTATTAAGTAACTTTTGAATTAAAATATCAGTATGTGCAGTGGTCTACAGTAACTAATTACAAATACTCAAGTTACTGTAATTGAGTAGTTCTTCCCAGATATTTATTAAGTCATTTACTAAGTATACATTTTCATATACTATACATTTTCACATACTAAGTATATATTTCATAACACTGCACTTTTACTTTCCCTTGAGTACATGTTTAGTGCAGTATCGGTACTTTAAGGGTGCTTTCACACCTGTGAATCGATTCAGTTGTTCTGAAACAGAGATTAAAATTGTTACATTGTTGCTCTTTGCTCTTGGAGCGGTTCGCTTTCACACTGCAAAGTTTCTAATCGGACCAAAATAGCTAAAACAAGTCACGTGCGAGTAAACTCTCCTCACATTAGTCAGAGTGTCAGGGTTTATTTTGCAGCGTCCAGCTAAGCTGTCAGGAGAGGTGGTGGTTTGGTGGTGATTGACAGGGTGAGCGCGCGCGACGTGTCTGAGGAGAGACGGATGAGAAGGGGTGGAGGGAGAAGGGAGAGAGGGGTGAGAAGGGTGCGCGACGATGCCTATTTGAGGACCGGAGGGAGACGCGAGATTACCGGGAGATCATCACTCGTTTGCGGGCATCCGGAGACTCGCGAAACTTCCCGTCCTACTCATAATTCTCTCTTCATATAGCCGTAAGCCTATTACATATCTATAAAACACTGTGATATAACCGCGCTCGGATCGGATCGCTTTCTCACTGCAATCGATCCGCTCCAGGGTTCGTTTCAATCGAGCCGAGACCACCTCACTCAAGCGATCTCGGAGCGATTACTTTGGCGCGGAAACAGAGTGCGATTGCCCTGTTCACATATGCCAATCGAACCGCGCTAACTGGGCAAACGAGATACGTTCCGAAACAAAAGTGTAGGTGTGAAAGCACCCTAAGTTTACTGAAGATGCAGCCAGCTTCAACACTCGCAATGAGTTCCTTGGCCGCTCTGCCTTACAGTACAACAATGCAGTAATTGTACTTTTTACACAAGTCCAGAAAAGGTGGGATCCAGGTAAACAGTTCTCATTGGATACAGCAACAATAGACGATTCTAAATGTGTGCGTCAATAAAGTTTGGATGGCCTAATTGTGTGCGTCACGGAAGAATTGTATCTAACTCCAGATATGGATGGCGACATGGTTCCTGGGAGTTAGGTCGACCCTAAGTTATTAAGAGCTGATCTCTGACCTGTGAAAAGCTAAACTAGGGACTAGAGCTGGGCGATAATTCGATATCGATAATTGTCACGATATAACATTTTACGATAAAACAATAATGACAGTTCGATAATTGCTCGATAATATTTACGCACTATGCGTAACGTTGCGCAAGCATTTTGCAGCCTGCCCTTCCGACTGCTGCACGCCGTACAAGTTTACAGTGTTAGTTGCACTGAAAGGAGTAAAAAAGAAATAAGGTAAAAAAGGTCAGAGTCACAGACATTGTTGACAAGAAACGTCACTAGACCTCAGTCATGAGCTACTTAGTTTTTTGCTATCCGACACAAAACAGAGTAACGTGCACCGCAAACTGCGCAGATGTCTCCTGTCAACGCAATCTCACGGCAATTCGTAACTTCTTGATTTAGTGGTTAATTCGTATGAATTCGTACGATCTAAATCGTCCAATTTAGTATGATTTGCTCATCACCCAATGACGGTTGGGGTTAGGGGTGGGGTTGTGTGCCACGCCTCCTTTTTAAAATCGTACAATTTCGTACGACTGAACTCGTACAAATTAGCCACTAAACTGACAAAACGTAAAATACTTGCGTTTCCTCGTGAGATCAGGCTGCTCGTGTCATCAAAAGCAGGCACCACCACAAACCTGTTTCACCATTTAAAACAAGACCACTCTTATGAGGATGCTAAGAAAGTACAGACCTAAACAAGTGTTAGTAAACCAGCGCAGACACCCAGCAGAGTCTCATGTCATCATTTTCGAAAGCCGTGCCTCACGAGAAAAAAACCCCGAAAAGAGAGACGAAAGATATGACAGAGGACACATTCCCAAGCACATCTCAATGAACACTTAATGCTTGCTGTAAACTACAGGCTGCATCATTTAGGGGAATTTGTTAAGACAATAAAGGATCTTTTGATGTCAAGCTTGTTTCCTTTTAATATTAAAATATTTGATTTGAAATCTGTATACCACTATTGTTCCTCATCGACGGTAAAATAACCAGACTTTATATAGCCTATTTAAAGGACATAATCACAGAGGAGAAATCAGATGCTCAAGACATAGGGCCATATTTTGACGGTCCATGCGCAGAGCGCAAAACGCAGGGCGCAAACGCTTTCAGGGCGTGTCAGAACGCGTTTTTGCTAATTTAAGGACGGGAAATCTGCCTTGCGCTTCGGCGCATGGTCTAAAAGGGTTGAGTTTATTTTCTTAATGAGTTATAGGTGTTTTGAGAATAAATCTATTAGAGTTTCATCTGCCATTCCCTTTAAGAGTCAGCTGCGTCGCGCCAAGAGCGCATTCACTATTTACAGGACGCAAAGTAGATCTAAGTGGAAAAAATGAGCATTTCACAAGCAAACAGTAAACAGTGTTTTAACAGAAAACAGAGCATCTACTGCGTGAGAATGAGAGATAATGGATCACTCCCTTTCGCTTTCGCTCTTGGATAGGGAAACCTTTACACACAGACATCAATTAGTCTATAAATAAATACTTTTGTTTCTTAAGCGCAAATATTCGTTTCAAAACTATTTCTAAATTCAGTTCTAATTTCCAGCAAACAAATAGATGAACAATAATAACAAAATGTGCTCAAAAACCTGAGTTATATCCTAAAACACATGCTGTGCCCCATATGGTCTAAAACCTGACAGGTGGGCAAATCTAAGCTTGTTTTTAATAAAACAAATATAAATATGGATATAATAAATAATACTGTTAATAATAATAACATTATACAAAAGCAAATTGTTATGAATGAACTGAAAAAGCCTCCTAGATGAAGAAGACATAAAAGCAGTGATTTTTCATATTTATGTAGGCTGGAAAATAATATATTTTGTAATATTTTAATCCTTTATATTTATATCCTATATCTATTCTTATTATATCCTATATATATCCTTAATATTTACATTTTTTCATATGTAAAGATATTTGCCTATTGCTCTCTTGTGCGTATTAAGCAGTGTGTAAGCGAGGCGCAACTCTGTGCTGGAGTTTAGACCGGGTTTGTTTTGGTTTAATGAAAAATCTATTTTAGTTTCTCAAAATAGCAACGCGCCAGCGGTCCGCCTCAGAACGCCTTCCTTTTTAGAACAGAACGCCTATGGGCGCACATATGAGCGCTAATGCATTTGCTATTTAAACAGCGTAGCGCAACACCTCAAAACCACTCTTGCACCAAGCTGAAACTACCAAAAGACTATTGCGCCACACTGCGCCGGGTGCATGATAGGGTCCATAATCTTTAAAATAATGACATAATAAAAATGCAGCAAATTTATAACAGACGTTTACAACAACAGTGGATCATTAATTAAATCCTTTTTTTCCACGGAGCGAAGCATCCTCCACCCGCAGTTGTTTAAGGCGGGCACAAACTAAATAAATATAAACACACTTCCTTGAAAATTTATCTTTTTGTTACGAATTTCGTTTTGTAAAATGTGTAGCTTAATTTTGAAGTATATTTTGTTGGTCAGTTATCTACAGCATAAACAAGAGGAACGAATAACATCCGAGGTGAAGCGCTTTAACAGAAACCCGCTATATGCTTTAGCGCCAAAACAGTCCATCAAACTATTTTCACGGTTTCATTTTAATTCATTAACTAAGCGCGTCTGGGCAGCATGAACTGGACAGTCTTTTCGCAGCACTGATAGATTTCTTGGGTTACCTCTGAAGAAAAAACTTGGATGGAGCTCAGGAGCTCGCTGTGTAAATGGAGAGGCTCCCCGGCTGACTCCCCGCATGTTTTCGTTGTGATGCGCGATTTGTAATTTGAGAGTCTGCATACGCCTATTCGTGCTAGTCTGTCAGACAAATTTGGTTGAAACACCCGCGGATATATCGGAGATAGGCGCATAACAAAGGGTTTATGCGTCCCACAATATGGGATGTGACAGAATAAGGTAAACTGCACACACTTGATTATGTAATGTGTGGATGCGTCTCACAGCGCAAAGCATAACTAAACCTTTACATGTTCATGCTTAATCAGTCATCGAAAAGGTCTATCAGTTAAAGGGTTATAGACAATCAATAGATCAAGTAATCATTAGCATCCCTAAATAAAATACATTAAAGTATATTTCACCCTAAATTCACCATACACCATTAAAAGGAGAGTTCATCCAAAACTAAAAATTCTGTAACTTTTTACAATAAGTTTCATTCATTCATTTACTATCATGAACTAATCATGAACAACACATGTATAGCATTTATTAATCATAATTAAACATTTACTAATGCATTTTTAACATCCAAGTCCATGCTTGTTAACATTAGTTAATGCACCCTGAGTTAACATGAACTAACTATGACCTACTGTATTTTCATTAACTAACGTTAACTATTCAATTCAATTCAGCTTTATTTGTATAGCGCTTTCACAATGTAGATTGTGTCAAAGCAGCTTCACATAAATGGTCATAGTAACTGGAACAGTGTGGTTCAGGTTTTAGTGTTTAAGTTCAGTTCAGTTTAGCTCAGTTCAGTGTGATTTAATCATTACTGAGAGTTCAAACACTGAAGAGCCAATTCATCGATGCGTAGCTCTACCAATCCTGAACCATGCAAGCCAGTGGCGACAGCGGAGAGGGGAAAAAAACTTCACCTGGTCCCGGATATGGAAACCTTGGGATCATCTCGTTGCTGGTCTTGGATCCAATCAGTGACTCCGCATAATCTGAGGACCTCGGGATGAGTATCCCCAGGTGAAAATAGAGATTAAAGAGAATAATTAGCGTAGCTGCTGTTCATAGTGTATATAAGCTAGATGCAGAAGCCAGTGTGGAACCCGCTAGGTG